GGGCTATAAAAACGGTATCCTTTACCGTGTGGTAGGTATCATATGAAGATGGACTTAACAGTTTTTGTCATAACAACTTCTCCTCAAAATCTAGGGAGAGCTTAGCATGTCCCATCATACTCCTCACCATTTCTATCAGCGTCTTATGCTGTCTCTAAGCTACCCCATTTTGCTAAGGAGTGTACGACATAATATACTAATGTTCAATATCATGCTCAGTACATAATTCTTTAAATAGTCATGAGGAATATTCTCAACCCCTATTCGATCTAAAGACTTAACTTTCTAGTTTGTTTGGGTTTCTACCTCGGCTTTATACTCTTTGAACCGGTTTAGGGCTTCAGACTTTTCATTTATCAAATAGACACGACCAAAACGGGAGTGATCATCTATAAATTACGAACCTTAGTGGCCACATTCATAGTCCCACAAATATCACTATGGACAACCTCTAATATGTCAGTAGCTCTCTGAGCATTCGCAAAAGATTTCTTAACCAGCTTTCCTTGAACACATGATTCACAGACTCTGGTTGAGTCTCCATTTAGATTACTTAACAATCCCTATCTTTTTAATCTCTCCATCTTTTCAGGATTATGTGCCCAACTCTCATGTGCCATATATCCACATTATCATTGTCATCATTATAACATGAGACATAAGAAATGGATTCCTTTATTGCAACTGAAAAGAAACCACTACAAGATGACCATTCATGACTAATTCATCTCCATATTTCACCTCCACCTTATTACCACTGAAAATGGCGGCGAAGCCTGCCTTAGCCCATATTGCGACAGAAACCAAACACTTCCTCGTCTCAGGAGCATAAAGAGTTCACTTTAGACCATGTTTTTTCCATTTTCAAGTTGAACGATGAATCTTCAATGCCCAAGATTTCAGTCTTTTCATTCCCACCCATATAGTTATGCTAATCCCTAGGGGCAACATGCTTGAAATTTATATTTCCATTCTTGGTATTTGACACATGAGCAGTGGACCTAGAGTCAAAACACCAAGACCCTACTTTAGGGTTAGCTAACATAGTCTCAATAACCACACAAGCATGCTCCCTATCGTCCTTAGGATTCACATTCTTGGGTGCTCTGCAATACTTTGTAATGTGCCCAAATTTCTTGTAGCTAGCATTGAGTAATCTTAAAATCCTTCTTCTTCTTAGACCCATTATACTCTTTTTCATTCTCATTCATTTTGTTCTTATCCTTTCCTTTGCCTTTCTTTTTCTTGAATGAACCAGAGATGGGTTTAAGGTTCACCAAATTTATGGAGTCATTAAAGGATGAAGCATCACGAGATAATCTCCTTTCTTCCTCAACTTAAGTTTGGTGATGATCTCGTCTAACTTCGGTATGGTCTCCCTTGCAATATGGCCAGAAATGAAGTTTTGCCATGAGCTCAGCATAGAATTCAGCAACTGGCAGATTTGCATGCTTTCATCTAGCTTAACATGTGCAGCCTCGTTCACGAACTAAAGCTCTAAACTATTGTATAAGCCCAGTAAACTTGCCTCTTTCATTTACAAATCTGAATATTGTTTCATAGCCATTGTCTTCCTAGTGAGCGAAGCTGAGGCATAATCGGTCTCAAATCGTTCATGAATCTCCTTCACAGCTTTGAAGTGCTCATATTCAAGAGCATGGGTGTCATCCATGGCCATAAGTAGCACATCCTTTGCACATGGGTGTCATCCATCGCCATAAGTAGCACATGCTTTGCTAGAGTGTTTTTGCGCTCCCACTGAGCATAAGCTTCTCTTATAACTGCCTTTCACAAGTGTTTCTTCTTGGGATAGGTGGGGCCTCATCAAGAAGTATTTGGCTAAGTTCCTCTTCAAAGAGGACATAGCCTATTTTACTCTTCCAACTAGAATAGTTCTTCCCATCAAATCTTTCAAACTTCATAAATTCTGCTAAGAAACTTTTTGAAGTCATTTTTCTTAGACCAAATAAAAATAAAACTCCTAAATTGCCGTAAAATATAGAGTCTCCGATACCAATGAAAAGTGTGGCTATGTGGAAATAAAGATATTATATTCAACAAGAAGCTTAGAAATAGAAAGACCAGATATATGAAAAGAAGATAACTCTCAAGCATGAAGATTGGAGAGAAGGTAAAGAAACCTTGTAATTTATTTCAAATCGATAGTTTTATTGAAATTTTCAGTTTTTTGTTTCGTGGTAAAGTTTACTCCTTGAGAATTAGACATTATCCACATGGGACATAGTTATTGGAGTGTGAACCCAAAAGGCCCAGAGAAGAATGTCTCCAAATGAATGATGTTACAATCAGAGAAACTTGAGCAGAGTTCTCATTGATTAGAATTTGGGAATAATCCCATAACATATGGTTGGGTTGTACAAAGTACATAAATACCCCTCATACAGTTTTGTGAGAAAACTACCTCAAACTAATTAAAAAATTAAACAGACTAAAAAAAAATTACACAGACTAAAGTAAGACTAACATACATCTCAACATCCCCTAAGAAACTGAAACATCAGAGAAAAATACACTACAAACATACATCTCAAGACCTCCCTCAAACGGGCATATGAATAGCACTCAGCAACAGTTTTCTCACTACGATACTAAAGATGTTGTTTACTAAGAACTCTGGTAAGTATGTCAGCAAATATAAAGGAGAGCAAGAAGGCTACGAGTAAATCATTCTCGAATGGAATGAAATTCAGCCTAAATAGGCTTGGTCCGATCATGAAATAAAGCATTGGTAGCAATCCTGATCGCATTCATATTATCCCCACAGAGAGGTGTACATGATGGAGGAAGGACAGTAAAATAAGAGAGAAGCATGTGAATCTAGAGATTTCATCAAATGTAAATATCAGCACAATACTTGGCTTTGAAAATTGATTTGGTATCCATATCTTGTTCCTGCATGGTAAGGAAACCAGTGAATAACCAAGCAAAATACAGTACCATGTTGTCAATCTACAAGTGTCTTAACAAATTCAGTAGAGGCCAACAATCAGAGGATGCTAGGAAAAAGAGACCACGATCAAGTGTAGAGCAAATATATCGAATGATGTGATGAACAAAACCATATGAGTTGAGCTAGGAGCCAATAGAATGAACTGCAAAATCCAGTATAATAATGAGATACCGCAGTCCAGAAACTAGTTGCGAGTATGGATTTGGATCAGGTAATGGGTCGCCCATCGAATGAAGGAAACAGAACATTAGGTTTTCCTGGGGTACTTAGGATATTAGTGTTAGTAATGGCTTGGGAGATAAGATTACAAGCATACTTGCACTTAGTAACAATGATCCCCCATGTACACTGAGTAATCTCTATTCCAAGAAAATATGATAAGTCCCCTGTATGTCACTTGCAACTGCTGCTGTAAAATGTTTCACATGAGGTTGAGGGATGTGATCAACATAGAGAAGAAATCTGCCTTCCCATCTAAATTATGCACAAATAAGGACAGGTCTGCAATGCAAGAAATAAGAGATGCAGAAAGAGAGAGAACACAAGGTAGGGCTGCAAGTACAATTCCACATTGTTTATTTGTGAAGTGACAAATCACACTATAACTTACATATTACAACTTAGGGCACAATATCACATTAATACCCTTTACATGTATAAACAATGATAGCCCTTACATGTACAACACATGACTTTACATTAAACTGAACATTACAGAAATACCCCTGCACATCAATTCTTAACACAAGAAGCTGCTATGGCATGAGTCAGAAATGATTTTTCTATTGAGGAACTATCGATAATGGATTCAGAGGAGAAAGTTTGCGTGGTTGCACTGAATGCTCCAGAAGTGGGCTCCGTTACTCAACAAAAAGCTAAATCCAATTTATAAAATTCAAAACAAATTAGCAACTGATTTTCAAGCAAAGCAGTCACAGGTCAAAACACATTTCATATTGAATCAGGAGGCAACAGGCTGAGTGTATGTGAAAAATACAAAAAACAGATAGAAGTCAAAGTTGAACTGAAGAGATAGCTGACATGTACAACTCATGACTTTACATTAAACTGAACATTACAGAAATACCCCCGCACATCAATTCCTAACACAAGAAGCTGCTATGGCATGAGTCAGAATTGATTTTTCTATTGAGGAACTATGGATAATGGATTTAGAGGAGAAAGATTGTGTGGTTGCACTAAATGCTCCAGAAGTGGGCCCCATTCCTCAACAAAAAACTAAATCAAATGTTTAAAATCCAAAACAAATTAGCAACTGATTTTCAAGCAAAGCAGTCACAGGTCAAAACAAAATTCATATTGAATCAGAAGGTAACAGGCTGTGTATGTGAAAAATACAAAAAACAGATAGGATTCAAAGTTGAATATAGCTGAGACTAAGATGGACCAGACTACATATGGAGTTTGCACACAATGATATCGTTTTCTTTTTCTTTTTTTGGCAGATTTTCTTTTTTTCATTTTTTTCCCAGAATATTCCTAAGATAAACCTGTGATACTGGTACAATCTTGAATGAAGCCCCAAAATACTTGATAAATAGATCAACAATAGCATCTAAGAGGATTTTAAAATCTTAAAACTCAAGACAATTGAAACTTCTTTGATTCAGCTTCAAAAAGCCCAAATGGTTATACAAATGGAACTCAGAGAAATAGACAAAGAAGAACGCTACAGTAACCCGAATAATTCTCCTAAAATTTGAATTCCTCACCCTCAAACAAGTATCAAAATTGCATAAAGCCATACACCAAAACTCTCAAATTCTGCTAATAATGATAGTTAAATTTAACCCCATTCATTTCATAAAACAAATTTCCATACAAAAAGATGATGAAAGTATTTCATCTGAAGGCATGTACCACGTCAAACAATTTCACCTTGTATACAGGCTTACTCTGGAACTCATTGATTATTTAGCTTAATAAGAAATGGTATATTAATGTACTATAGAGGAAAAATATTCATATTCTACAACTGACACCCTGATATTGTTGAAGTAAATAATACCAGATCAGAAACATATTGGAAGCTTCGTGTCTGCTTTCCATCACCATAAACTGTCAAAGGCTCCTTACGAATTGCCTGAAAAGGCAAATGACACCATATAAATAAGACATCTTACCAAAGTTCAGATCCATTTCATAACTAAAACAATCAACGCATAAAGCTAAGATCAGCAAATTATCAAATCCAATAGAAACAAAACCTGAGCGACAAAATTGCTGACAACACGCCCATCATCTATACACATGCGGGGCCCATATGTATTAAAAATGCGTGCAATACGTACCTGATAAGAAAACAATGGCTCCATATCACTTCAAAATTCACAAGAGCATTCTCCACATAAGTGACTGCTGGAATATGCCAGTCAAGGGTGAAAAGACATAGGAAATAGACCAGTATCATAAGTGATACCTGAAGCTTAAACCACATTCTAAGACAGCCTTTCATAAAGACAAGGCAAAAAAAACAATTTTAGCCATTGTAGACACCCCAAAACTAAACATAAAAAAGAAGAGGATGAATGCTGAGGAACAGAGGAAAAAGAAAGTCATTAAAGCGTACAGAATAATCATGAAAAATTCCACACTAAAGATGTCAAGGAAATTTCATTTCAGATGAATGAGTAAATTTAGTTATTGTAATGCCTTTTAGAATAAGTTAAAGTCATTAAAAGTTGTAGGTCATCTCAATTTGATTAGGTTGTAGATATATAAAACAGAAATGAGATCCACAGATTCAATTTCAGAGATCTCCAGCAGCCAAAGTAGCCCAAGAAAGGCCAAGTAAGTGTAGAAAGAAATGACTAAGGATCATAAGCTCCAAGTTCTCATCACGTTTTGAGCAAAAAATGTAATTAGTGCATAAACACATGGATGGTGGTTGGACTGTGCCTGGGGTCCTGCACTGGTGCTCTCAGACCTGCACATTTGAGCAGAACAGTTGTGCTAGTTTTAAGTGGGAAAACAATTAAAAGAGATCCTAAAGGCTCTTCACCACGTGGATAACAATCTTGAGCCTTCTAAAAGAAGCACCAAATGATTGCCATTATGGATCAGCCCAAACTCGATCATGATCAGAGTTAAGCTTTAAATCTGAACCACACATTTCTATCGGGCCCCAATACATGTATTTTTACATTGGTCAAATCACATTCACACAAAAGCCCCTAAATATGTTCTCTTCAACTCATCTCACAATGAGATAACCATATAGAGAAACACCTTCAACAAACTAAGGCAAGAGTCCTATGGAGCAAACAGAAAAGCCACAGGAAACACTGAGTAACCATGAAAAATTCCCTGAAAACTCTTTAACCTATGTTCTCAAGCCAAAAGATCAATTTCCCATAGACGTCATATCCACTACATTGCATTTTCCCTCCTCAATAAATGCGTTCAAGGCTCTTTCTCTTATGAAAGGCATACAACGTACCACAATATTCTTCAAAGCCTTTCGTTTCTTTTTCTTTTTCTTCTTTTACTCTTTTTTTTTTTTGGATGAAGTCCTTTGGTTTTTTAAGAGCATTAGTTTCATGTAACATATGCTGGGTTACACCATATAAATTCCCTTCCTTGAATTGTTTAGTTCTGGTTTTATGGATCAATTACTTAAACAGAGCCCAAGGTTATACTATCAGTAGATTAAACATACTGTCCTCGTGATGCAGCAAAGCCATTGCATAACCTCCTGTTTCATGGCACACTGTGCTTGTCCTCACATCAGTGATTGCAGAATAACAAGCCCAATCAACATCCATTTAAGTAACCACAGGAAACAGCAAACTAATCAACTCTTAAAGACATTTGTGACCAAAGTGCTCCTTTCTCATGTTTATCATTGCACTGGTGAATATTTTGGCTCATTAACATGTAAGCTGGTGCATGCATAGACTTGAGATTAATTTTGAAAAGGAGTTGTACACTTGAGATATTCATTTGGTTTTTCGTAACTCCTAATTAAGACAAACCGTCAACATTAAAAAAAAATCATAATTAACACAATATAAAAAGGAGTTAACACTCAGTAGTGGTTTAACAAATTGAAAAATATTGACAGAAAAGCAAGCAATCCCTTAACACCTCAAGAAGATTGAGAGCCTTCTCCATAATCCCGTTGGTGACCACATCTTCAAAAGGGAACTAATAAGAGAACTAATAAGAAGTCACAGAATGTTCTTGTGAATTATGGCCAATACCAGGTATATAAGCAGTGATTTCAAATCCAGAGGTTAATCGTACTCTGGCAAGTTTATGTAAGGCAGAGTTTGGTTTTTTGGGAGTGATACTAGAAAAGTCAACAGATAAAGGGCGCGCTGATGACTCTTAAGTCTGCAACAGCAACACATACAGAGACATGCTGTACAATAAAACCTTACTCTCACAGTGAAAATAAGGTATTTTGGAGCTGTCAAGGTCAAGAGGTGGAGCCACAAAGGGAAGGGTCAGGAAAATAAGTTGAAGTTTATGACAGCTTCTGGGCCACTTATAGGGTTTGGACTTTGACCTATTCGTGGAAAAGTACAAGACCATGTAGCAAAGAACAGGGTGAACATCATGGGCGATGGATGGGAAGACATAAATGAGTGGATATTGACTAATTTCTTATTATACTGCCCACGAGGAACAGCCTTCCATACCTGTGGAGATGCCACAAATAAGGTCAAGAGCACCAAACTGTTGCTCAAGTCATAGATGGGTTTGGGAGCAAGGTCAGATCTCGGATTGGGATTGGGACTGCAGGATCGAGAGACACACGAAGATCCATGAGATAGGGTTCGAGATCCGTACACTGAGTTAAAGGGATCGCGATACCAATATGAAGGAAGCGCGATACAAAATTGTCCAAGATCAAATGATTAAGTATATGAGATCGCAATCTGTCCAGCTTAAAATCGAGACTCCCCAAAAGCGCTTAACTAGGGTACTCTAGCTCAAGAAAGAAGTCCATTGAACGATAATTAATGTTTTTTATGAATTCAAAACCAAAGTATCATTAAATACAAAAAAGTTCAATCTTTAAAATATATTAAACTTTTGTTATCATTGGAGTGTGTTTCATAAGTGAGAAGTGAAACTGAAAACCCAAAATAAGGATTCAAATTTCATTCCTCAAGCATGAAAGAAGCTCTAATTTTTTATGAAAGTGCTTACAACAACTCAAGTATGGTGGTTATCTATGCTCCTATTGTAAATGAACCTTGAAATGCGCTGGTGATCTTCAGTACCAATGTAAAAGAAACTCGATTCCATGTTGGGGAGGCTCGATTCCACTTACTCATGGACCCATGATTTGGATGAGATGGATCAACCAGGGATCTAGATCGCCAATTTTGAGGATTGAGATCCCTAAATTCAATAACCGTTTGGAATCCAGCTACCTTGGCTCCTTTGGAACCTGTCAAGTGGAATCGAGCTACCTTGTCCATGACCGCAGGATCAAGCATCCAAAGTTAGAGCTAAAACCTTCTTGGGTGATCCCGGTGACTGTGGTTCAAGTTAGGGGATGATGCAGTGAAGGCCGTTGGTGAGGACTACATGGTCCAAATCATAACAGACATTGCCAAAAACCACATGTATAGGAGAGAGACTGGCGCAACGAGAAATCATTTGGTTTGAAGTCCATTTGCAGCCCATGGCTGTGACCTGATGCTCTAAGATATTTAGGAAACTAGGCTAAAGATTATGTTGAGAGGAAGAAGATCTTAACAAATTTTATGTACAAAACATTCAGGATACTTGTCATGATGAGATGCTACACAAAGAGAATGGAGATAATCAGGCCAACCATCACTTGATTCACTATGTCATTCTTATTCATACACTACCTCACTCTTGCCTATACACTGCGTCATTCTTGCCTCTACAATCACTAAATATACTACCTCAGTCTCATCTATATAATTTATATTGAGGTTGCAGGCTGGCTCAAAAAAAAAAAAAAGTTCCTTAGAAGAACTTGTCAATGCCTATATCTTAAGGATTTAGATTGCAAGACGAGTTGAATGGATAATAAAGAGCAAGAGGTTCTAGAATAGACACAAGTACATAATCAATGCAATGCTCAAAAATTTTCGGCCACCCAGCTGCCTAGGCGGCGGGAAGACCAAAACACCCAGGCAGGCTTCCTAGGCGTCATGCATCTAGACACCAGCCTCGGTGGAGCCTCGATGCAGGCAGGCCAAGGGCAAAAATACGCCCTCAGCCAAGGGTATTTTGGGCATCCCTGCCCCCCGCACACACAAGAAAAAAAAAAGGGGCAGAGGGGGGAGGGAGGGCTTTGAAAAGGTTAATGCATTACAACATTTGAATTAGAATTTGGTATGTTTTTGTATAATGTGTTATGATTTGATATTCTAATATTTATTTATTTTTAGTTTGTGATATTTTTACATGTTTGTAGTTGGAATATTTCGTGATTATTTTTGGGCTTACCTTTCGTAAATAGTTCGAAACTTCCAAAAAAAAAATTGTGAATATTTAGATTGCATAACCAAATCTTAGCGATATTATGTTGTCTTCTGTGATATTAAGTGATCATTATTTTTTAAAAAATTGATATCATATTATGTGATTTTTGTTGATTGGAAAACCAAATATTATGAGATATTTTATATTTGATTTGGTTTCCACATATTATGAAGTTCATTTTTTTATTGGTTTCCATATTCTCCACATATTTTTAGCGAACATTTCTAGTTTGTTTTGTTTACTTCATAGTCTTCATTTAAAACTTGAATTTCTTTCATTATTTTTTGTTAAAACTTTCATCTTGTGTATTTTTCATGTTTGTTGATTAGGTGATACTTCATGTATTACTATGACAGTGAACTATGTTGTAAGTCATGAGTCGTGATACTTTCATCAAATGGATCAAGTAAGCAAAGTGATCCAGGTTGGAAGTAAGGATCTTGTTCAAATCCTATTGACAAAAGGGTGGAGAGTAAGTTTGGCAAGAAATCATATAATGCTAATAGTAATAGATTAAGGAAACATTTAGCTAGCATTAGAGGGGATGTGGCCCCATACACTCAAGTGCCAACAGAGATTAGGAGAGACATGTTAGAGCACTTGAAGGGGCTAAAAACAAGAAAGAGGAGTTGAAGAAAAGGCATGAAGAAATTGTCAGAAGTATAGATATTTTTAGAGTTGGGGAAGAAGAAGAGGATATATATGCTGAGGTTGGATTCTAGTAGGCCAATGGGGGTCACACATAAGAGGCCTCGAAGAAGAGGGTCTATGGATTCTATCCCCCGCGCGCCCCCCAAATCCTAAGATTTTACCGCACAAAACGAGGCAAAACAAGTTTAAAGATCCACTTAAAAAAAGAGGATAGAGATAAGGTATCACTATATGTAGCCAGGTGGTTCTACCCTGTAGCCATTTCTTTGAATGCTGTTAACTTGAAAAACTTTCAGACAATGTGGAAATAGTGGGTCAATTTAGGGTAGGGTATAGGGCCCAGCTACTTCTGAGCTTAAGAAGTCATTGAAGCCCACTGAGATGCATGGGGGTATACAGTGGCACTAATATGACTACTGGTAGGAGTGATAAGCGAAATAGAAGCATTATGAATTTGATGGTGAATTGTCCATTCGAAACAATGTTCTTAAGGTATATTGATGCATCTGACAAGTCCCGTGATGCGACTTTCATATGTGATTTGGTGGACCAGTGCATAGAGGAGGTGGAGGAGGATAAAGGGATCCAAGTAGTGAATGATATGAACTTAGCCAATATGACAGCAGCTAGGTTATTGATGGCAAAGAGGCCCCATATTTTTTAGTCATCCTATGCAGCACATTGCATAGACCTCATCCTTGAGGCGATTGGCAAGAGGAAGTTGATGAGGACAACCATCAAAAAAGCACAAACGATCACAATCTATATATACACTCAGTTAAGTACATAAGTTTATCCTATGCCTTGTTGTTACTTGTTTTGATTCCTTTAAATATATATATACATGTTATGCGATGTCGTTGTAAATTTGTAACTTAAGAAATCAAAATTGGCCCAAGTTTCCAAGTTCTAAATAAATTTTATCAAAAAACAAGTTTTTAACAAAATTATAAAACTCTCTATTGTAAGCCACCTACCACCATTGCATGATCACCCTGTAGAACAAATAAAAGAGTTCAATTGTATTACAAATATCCAAGTACCTCAACATCTGCACCTCTATGGTAATCCATAGCCAAAGTCTCAGCAGTCCTTTTTCCTTCATCATAACAACTCCTCACACCTAGGAAGAAGCACTAGTTAGATTTTTCGACATATGATGACAAACCAGCTATGTAACAACAACACAGTGTTGCATGCATTAAGGATAATCTAATATGCCAATGCTAGACACATGTATTGACACGCAAGACGCGCATACAAATATGGGAAATTAGTAACGACATGCATGCTTTAAAATTTCATTCTTTCTTTTTTTCCCTTGTTATTAGCAGACAGTGTGACTCGAGGCTATGGCCCTTGATAGAACGAAATGGCGGAGAGGGCTCATGTAGTTGACCCCAAATAGTTGAGGTAAGGCTTAGATAATTATAATGATGATTTGCAGACATGGCATGTCTACTTTGTGGATTCTCAAGTCCATAGATTGGACAAACAAGACACGAAGTCCAATTAGCATGACACACTTTTCTGTATTGTAACACACATCCAGTTTGTAATTCACCTATGGAGCATGTGCTTGATGATTTGCACATGCATGTAGTTGATTTGGACCTATATGTTCTGTTTTTTAAGTTAATTTTATTATTAAAAAGTATAGACACCCATATGTTAAGTTAATTTTATTATTATAGAGTATAGACACAGATGTGTTGTACGAACTTGTACAGGCATGTTGTACAAGACTTGGAAATATATAGGTAGGTGAGTCGAATTCTTCAAATCAGTATTAAACACTAGATTCTCATATCCATGTCCATGTAACATAGCAAACAAGTCAATTGGGCTGAGCACCTCTCTGCGTAAACATAACCATACAGTAGAGGTAACTGGTAGACAAAATTAACAAAAGGAAAACTTTCACGAATGCTGGAATCATGTTGTTATTTAAAATGGAAGTTGGCTTATTTTCCCAATTATCAACAAAAGTAAACACAATGGGTGAAAAGAAGCCCACCTATAGGGTTGACATTACCCCAGTATGTCTCCTTTTGTGGGTGCTCAAGAGGGTCTCCATAAACCTCGCTAGTGCTTGTCAATAGAAACCGTGCCCCAATTCTTTTAGCCAGGCCCAACATATTCAGCGTTCCCATTACATTTGTCTTGTTAATATTAGTTAAAGAATGCATCCTGATCTATACTACTAAATTATAAAAATGAATCATGAATAGTGCTCATCCACTCACATGCATTCATCAAAAACTCCATAATAGAACCAGGGTTATCATAAATGTATGACTCACAAATTATACATTTTCTTGACCTAGTTAAGAGTAAAATAGGCAATTTATGTAAAACCTATTTTCCACATAAAGAAAGTTCTTAATTACTGTTTACAGCTAGTAGCCAAGTTAATCGAAATTCAAAGACTCAATCACACTGCCGTGATACAAATATATTCAGAATGGCCGATACCAACATCTTGCGGGTTTTTGTAATTATACCCACTACTTTGATATAATGCCACTATTTCTTTAAAATGTGCACGTGTGTGTGCAATGTCTAGTAAATAAAAATCACTTGTCATAGCAATGGTAACCTTTAGTTAAAGCAATAAACATGAAGTGTTCAATGAAAAGCATAAAGAATTTGAATAAGGAAAACATCATGTATCCCCCAATAGACATGCTTGATATTCATGACGGCCTGGAGCATAAACAGGCTAATGCAATGAAAACCAAAGAAAAATAATGAAAGGAATAGAGCATTCAAGCAACCAAAGTCCAAAAAAGGGAAGCAGGTCCGTAATGTTCAGATTTTGCACAACGCCACAACCAAAAGTCCTCCAAAAAAACTTATAAAAAAAAAAAATTCCTCCAAAAATAAAAATGGACAAAAACTATTCAGAAACTCCAGAGTAACTTTAGATTAGCCAAATAAAAACTATTAACTATTACGAATTAAGGATATGATGGTCTTGATGGGATTATACTTGTAGTGCACAGGAGAAGCAGGGCATGCCAAGTGATAAATCTGATCGACCTCTAGCAAGATTGGCTCCACCACATCGTGCCGGATCATCTCAAATCTAGGATTTCGAAAGTGGTGCACCACATTCTCCTTCCTCCCAGTAAAGAAATTATCTATAATTATCACATAATCCCCTCTCTCTAGCAACCTATCAACCAAATGGCTCCCAACAAAGCCAGCACCGCCAGTAACCACTATCCTCAGAGCCTTGCGCCTCAAGCCCACTGTTACCCTACCATTTGACCTCTGTGGCTTAAAATCATGAGACACAACCTGTGTTGTTTCTCTCTCATGATCCTCATTTCCTCTGATGTTTATGGAGTTGGGGTTGTTTACTCTCTCTACAACCCCGAGCTTAGAGAGACTGGGCTGGAGCATGAAGAAAGTGGAGGCGATGAGCATGCCCACAAGAACAAAGAGGAGCCTCTGCTCTTTGAGCATGTAGTTGATGGATCTGGGCCATGATCTGGGTTTGTGGGAGGATTTCATGGGGAGAGAAGGGCTACGGTGAGAGGGGGTGTGAGCTCCTTCCTCATCTCTCCTGTGGTTCAGGCTTGCCTGCTTGTGGAGCTGTTTCATCTTGATTCCTAGAGAGAGAAAATGGCTGCCTTCTGATAAACTTTATCTCTCTATCTCACCCACACACATGATCTGTAGAGAGGGGATTCGTGAAGGTTGCAGTGAAGCAGCGATTCGTTTGTGAAATCTGCAGTCTCTTCCAGCGTTTTAAAAAACGCCGAGTCGAACCGGACTCGCCCGGTTCGACTCGGAAATAGTGAAAAAGGAAACGGATAGCCCAAAAATCGGAAATCGTCCGGTTCTAGAGAGAACTGGACGATTCTGTACAGTGAATCTCCGATTCACTGTACGGAATCGGCGAGTCCGAACAGTGAATCGGCGATTCCGTACGGAATTTATTTTTTTTTTTTTTTTTTTTTTTTTTTTTGGTAATTCCTATGATTAGATTTTTTGTAATCCATGATGGAATTTTTTTGGTTTTTGTTAACCATATAGAATTTTTGTAATCCATGATCGAAATGTTTGTTTTCTTTTCTTGTAATCCATTGATTCG